GCCGGTAGGGCAGGGCCGCAACGGGCGGCGAAGGCAGGGCCGCGACGAGCGACGACGGGCCAGCGACGGGTGGCGACGGGCGGCGACGGGCGGCGACGGGCCGGGACGGGCCGGGACGGGCCGGGACGGGCCGGCGACGGGTTGGGACGGGCCAGCGACGGGTGGGAAAGGCAGGGCCGCGACGGGCCGAGAAGGCAGGGCCGCGACAAGCGGCACTAGGGCAGGGCGCGCGACGGCGCAGGTGAGGCAGGCGCGAGGCGCGCTTCAGGCAGGGCAGGAAAAAAAAAATCGTGGTGGGCCCTAAAAAAAAAACGTTCCCACGAGGGAACCTGCTAAGAATACCATGTTAGAATAGTGAAGGAAGGAATTACTGAACTAGCAAGCAGGTGGGTACAAGTAGGAAACCTAAAAGTGTTGTACCCTATATGAACTACCCCACTACAGCCTAGACAGACTATAGCATATAAGTTTGACAGCATGTGCATCATGATTCATGACATTACATTAAATATTATGCATCCTATAGCATTATTTATGCATCATGCATCTTTATGTCAGAATGTGTAGTTTGTCTAGCCTGCAGTGGGGTACTCTATAGTGAGTACGGCCCCTTAGGGTTTCCTATATGTATCCACCTGCTTGCTAGTGCAAATCTTCCTTTGCCTATTTTCTCTTGCCTAGCTAGCTAAACCCTAGCTATGGCCCCTCATTCATTCCTTCACTATTCTGACATGGTATTAAGAGCTCGTTCGATCCTAACCTGTGGGCCCACCCTAAGCTTCCGCTGCTTTCGTGTCTGTCGCGCGCCCCGTGGCGCGCGACGCTTTTTTCTTCCCGCCACGAGCTTAGGGCGCGCGGCGGTTTTCTGCCCGCCGTGCGCCCCGAGGCGCGCGGCGGTTTACTGCCTCGCGCGGCGCCCTGGGGGCCCGCGCGCTGCCCTGCCCGTCGCCCGTCGCGGCGCCCTAGGGGTCCGCGCGTCACCCTGCCCGTCGCCCGTCGCGGAGCCCTGGGGGCCCGCGCGTCGCCCCCCCATCCCGTCACCCGTCGCGGAGCCCTGGGGGGCAGTGCGTCGCCCTGCCCGTCGCCCGTCGCGGCGCCCTGGGGGCCAGCGCGTCGCCCCCCCCCTCCTGTCGCACGTCGCGGCGCCCTAGGGGGCCGCGCGTCGCCCCTCCCGTCGCCTGTCGCGGCGCCCTGGGGGGGGCGCGCGTCGCCCCCTTCCGTCGCTCGTCGAGACGCCCTGGGGGCCCGCGCGCCGCCCCGCTTCCGCTCACACGCCGCCCCAGCTGCTGCCCGCGTTTCTGCCCTGCGTTGGGGGTATGGGGGTGGCGGGTATGGGGGTGGCGGGTGTATGAACCGTCCCCTCCTCCTCCTCCTCCGTCTCCCACTGCTGCAGCTGCCGCTGAGAGGGGTGGGTGTGTGGGACCCGAAGGAGTGGTGCTAGGGGGGTGTCGTGGGAGTGAAGCTAGGGGTGCAGCAGGGGGTGTGAACGGGAGTTTTGGGACAAAGGGGGAGGTTGAAGGGGGGTGGCCGCCGTGAAGCCAGCAGCTCCAGTCGCCCGTGAGACCGTTGCGCCAGTCGCCCGTGAGCCCGTCGCTCCAGTTGCCCGTGAGCCCGTTGCTCCAGTCGCCCGAGAGTCAGTTGCTCCTGCCGCTCGTCTAGCCGCGGAGCCAGTTACTCCAGTTGCCCGTGGGCCAGTTGCTCCAGTTGCCAGTGTGTCAGTTGCTCCAGTTGCGCCGTGTGCCAGCAGCTTCAGCTGCCGCCCACTACCTCCTCTCCTCTCATAGTCCCTCCTCCTCCACACTTGCCCTCTGTGATAGCTTTTAGCTTTGCTTATATTTATGAACTATAAACTGCTGCTTGTTGTGCTGATCATACCCCACTTTGACTATGGGGGTGTGTCAGAATGTGTAGTTTGTTTAGCCTGCAGTGGAGTACTCTATAGTGAGTACGGCCCCTTAGGGTTTCCTATATGTATCCACCTGCTTGCTAGTGCAAATCTTCATTTGCTTATTTTCTCTTGCCTAGCTAGCTAAACCCTAGCTATGGCTCCTCATTCCTTCCTTCACGATTTTGACACTATTTATCATTACCACAACATCATTTAACAGTACAGCATATCTGCACAAAACCATTGACAAAGAAAGATCACATGGTTTAATATACTGTGAACAGTATTCAAAACTGATCAACAGTTTGGGAAGGGTACTGTAGTTTACGAAATTTATTTTCATATTTTATTGAAAACACATGAAAATAAATACCGGTATGATTTCTTTTTTGGCAAAATAGATCGTAAAAGGTTGCTTCGCAACTCAAAAAAACTCTCACGGTCTAGTGCCGCCAGAAAATGTTGACGTTCCGAAATTTTCGACGAGCATGCGAGGTAAGATCCGCGTGGCTTCATCTGTTTTGATGCTTCATGGAATGTTCCTTCCGCACTCGCTGTCCTGGCTGTGCTGTGCGGTTCTCAGCCAAAAAGCCAACGCGGCAACATAACAGCGCCAGTATGTGAATAGCTGGTATGCGTATAAACAGAATCCCAGGCATGCCTGACTTGATCCGCAACCTGGCATAGTGCTCGACTGGGCGATTGGTTTCGTGTCATGACATGACTGATGTGACAAGGGTCACCGCGCAGTCCGCGTTTGCTGTTCTTCCCAACCACCAAATCCATGCCTTCACAACCACACATGTAGTTCCGAATGATATATGTGACCTGAGGCCAAATGTCTCGATTCGACGAATGGGGTGTGGCTCGATGGTTTGTGCTGGTTCGGCTGCCAAACGTAGCCAATCAGCTACCGTGAGACCACCGAGCCTGCCATGTTGCGTGGGGATTTGGCAGCCAATCGCCGTCTCTGGGATGGGGTGGTGTGGGAGTGGGAGTAATTGAAACGAACGGAACCCTACTTTCGCACTTCAAACAGAAGGCCCGGCGAAAATCGCTTGGATGTCGCCACGCCACAACTGACACGGTGCGGATCCCTGATTCCCCTCACCTCCGCTTCAAATCAACGTGTCCGAGAGGGGTAGGTTTCAGGCGCACCCCGCAGAACCGCGTGAATTGGGGATTCGGTTGCCCATGCAGAAAGTTGATTTGGGGCCGGGGGAGCGGAACCTCTGACCGACCGAGCTTGACGCTTTGGCCTTCATCCCCGGCTGTGGGGTGGTGGGTGGGGTGGGGAGACGAGGCCCCGTGGCTTCCCTGCAGCTTCCCCGTCAAGCGAACATTGAGAAACGCCCAGCCAGCCAGGCACGGCCACAATCGATAAAACCCTCCCCTCGCTCCACCATTTCGTTACTTGTCTTCGTTCAAACAGATACTACTAACGACTTCTCTAGTAATCCTTACATTCCAGTTCAGACTTGCAAGTTATTTTCCTTCAGCTGCGGTAAGCTCACAATAATTCAACCGATCTGCTAAGTGTTGCCGCCTTCCTTCGCAGTCCCTCTGTTAGTCTAACAACCATGGGCATGACTAAAAGCCCTCGTCACGATTCAGAGTCGATGGTCTCAGCTGGCCTTACAGACCTTCAAAAAAAGGAGCTCACCGATGCGTTTAGGAGAATCGACAAGGACGGCGATGGCGTCATCACGGCTGAGGAGCTGGCCACCGCGCTGAACCTCATCGGCGTCTCGGCGTCGGAGGATGTAGTGTCGTCAATGATGCGTGAAGGGGATTTCGACGGTAACGGTAGCGTTAACTTGGAGGAGTTTCTAGCGCTGAACGCCATGGCGGAGCGGCTAGGAGGCGACGTGTCGCGGTCGGTGCTGAAGGACGTGTTCCAGGTGTTCGACGTGGACCACAACGGCGTGATCTCCGCCGACGAGCTCTTCCGCGTCATGGCGAACGTTGAAGGCGGCGGCGTGACGCTGGATGAGTGCAAGCGGATGATCAGCAGCGTCGACATGGACGGCGATGGATTCGTCGACTTCCCCGAGTTCGAGAGGATGATGCAGGCGCAGAGCGTCGTCAGGCACGTCGCCTGCTGAGATCTGCTTTTCATCCAATAAGGAGCCCTATCCCACACGGGTCCAGGCGCACGGCGCTTATCATAAGCTACTGCCGTCAAAGCCCTTCGATGCGGTCTCAGCTTGCAAGGGTCTCGATCATGAGGCATGTGGCATTGCGTCGTTCATTCTCGTTCTGTTAATTTGTATGTACGACATGCGGTAGGAAAGACCTGGTGAATCGAATGTTAGTTCCGCCAATACTGCTGCATTGCATCAGCACCTTTCGTAGGCTCATTCGCGCACCGAGCATTAGGGAACCTCTGAGCGGTTATGTGTGATGCGTGATGTACGTTGTGACCATGTATGTTGATATTGAAGTTGGCCCTTCATAATGATCACTGTCACACATGATGCTCTGTCCATGGTCCGTGTATTACCCAGAAGCTTATCATAATCACATTGGAGGAGAATACCCTTGCAAAGCACCAAGTCAGAAAACGTTAGGGGGTGTCCGAAGTGAAACGTCGACAGCCGTTTGCGGATGTTGGCAAATCCTGACGGTTGAAAGCTTCAATCCGAGGGCTGACATGCACCGACATCCAGCAACATCCAGCGACATGGTCACTTCGGACACGCCCTTAGGGTAAGGACGCCATGGAAAGAAGGTGATGGCAGTGCGACGGAGAAGGCAGCTGACGAGGACTAATAAACACGACAATGAATCATTGCAGATGAGAGCGCCAGGATGTTTCCCTGAGTCGCTTGGTGGCGTTGTCATGACGTACGGGTAGAGTTTGCAGTACCTAACTGTCAATCCTTGTACACTAATTCGAGGAACGGAGGAAAGTCCCTTCCAGACATGGGTCGTTATGACTGTTTATGCCATAACATTAGTGCTTATGTGCAACACTACCAGCAGTAAAATTGGTATTCTCATTGCACAACTGTGGGCAACAAACCAGCAGCATGCGCCATCTAACCACACTTGTTCACTTCCTCCACCTCTACTCTGCCCGCAGCCCATGCTGCGTGCTCCAGTGAGTTGCTTACATCCCGATTTGGGCATGTGCCTTGTTGAGAATGACTCCCTCGTACTTGACTTGGAACCACTTCATCGCATCCTCCTTGGTCACGCGGTGCTGAATGCCCACGCGGCACTTGGCCCGCCGTCGGCGCGACACACGGTAGCCGGGGCGCTCGAGAACAACAAAGAAGTCCATTCCGTAAATGCCAGTGGACGGGTCGTACCTGTATCAATGCACATGGCACCACGGCAATGGGGTTGGTGAGAATGGTGTCGGAGAGGCCAGCTCAGTGTGGCAGTCAGAAGAATGTGCTCCTAAGAACTTGGTTCCCAGGTCCATGTGCTCCTCAATACTCACTTGTATTCCCAAGACTCTATATCGCAGGTCAACGTGATCCTCAATGCTCACTCTTCTCAAGACTCAAAACTTCCAGCATGATGTGCTCCCCACTACTCACTTGATTCCCAGGTCAATGTGCTCCTGAATTCCGAACCCAAAGCAGCCAGTGGCGCTGAAGTTGCGGCGAAGCAACTCAAACTCCTTCACCTGCTCTCAATAACCATGCCAACCCCGCCAGAGGTGAAGAACAAAATAGAAACACCCCAAAGCGTTAACGTGCATGTATCACACGATCGAGTGCAACAGAGTGATACAGCAGGCACACAGACGCCTGGAAAATAGTAAAGCTGTGCACCCACGAGCAAACCCTAAATGATACTAAGATGCACCATGACCATCCGCACTACTGACAGAGGTTGCAAAAACTAACGGACACCCATAGAGCGGGAATGAAGCTCATTCTGGGGTCCATAAGCCAACTTTGCAAAGCCCACCTTGAGGCCGCTCTCAATAAGCTGGAGCGCCTTCTCGCCGCGCACTGTCACGTAGCACGCGATCTTCTCGTTACGCCGAATGCCGAACGACCGCACCGTGTAGCGCGCTGCAGCAGGGCCAGGGGCGAGGAGCGATGAGAGAGGGGCGAGGGGCGAAGGGCGAGAAGAGGGGAGAGGAGTGAGTGGAAGACGAGAAGATGGTGTTGAGAGTGAGGTGAGGACTTGCGGCTTAAATGACACGAGCACGCGACAATCAAAGTCGCGAAAAGCTGGCGAAGCGACGAGCAACGGCAGGTGAAGGCGACGGGGTCATGGGTCAACGCAAACACGGGAAACAGCGATCAGCGAAGGCAGAAGGCAGGAAGACTGACCCTTGGAGAAGACGGGCACTTGACCGCTCAGCTGCTCCAGCACCTGCCCTTGCACGGATGTCGAGAAGCGTGGGAAAGAGAGGTCGAGAGGAGAATGGAGGGCAGGCGAGGGAGGAGGGCGCAGAGGGGGGTGGAAGGGGCATAGGGGCAAGGGGGAAGGGAAGAGGTGCACGTGTGAGAGACAGGTAAGTGAGTTGATAGCGATTTGTGTGACTTGGTCGCGCAACAGCGGCGAGAGCGGGCTACGACGCGGTGGATGGACGGGCGCGAGCGCGGCCAAGCGGACATGCGGCAGACGCACGCGGAGAGCCGACGAGCGTCAGGAATCCAGGCGCGCTCTGCCCATTTTTGTAACTAGATTCGGCATCAGCGCCCTATATGACGAACGGAACCCTAAATTAACTAAAACCCGAAATCGCTCGAGCGGGCAGAACACTGCTCAATAGTTAAACGCCTGGCTCCAAATATTCCTGTATCAAGCAGTACCCGTCGCCATTTCCCTTTGCCTAGTAAGCTCCAACTCCGGCTAGTTTGCACCCTTAGGCACCTAAACTTTCCGTCATGTTCATACGCTTCCCCTCAGTGCCATAATCTTTCTACCGCCTCTGTCGCTTCTCCCGCCTGTACCGCCTCGCCGGGCATACGAATCCCCCCTGGACCTGCTTCTTTCACCTGCTCCATCGCCTTGTCAATCGCCCCGCTCCCCTCGTTACGGACACGCAGCCGGGCAGCAATACTGACGCCGAAGAGCATCTACAACCACCTCAGCGGGTTCCCCCGCACTCATCGGTACCAACGGGCTAGTGCGTGCTGTACCAAGGGGCTGAGCTTGGGCTGTGAGTGGTCCATCCTGCGCGGTACGGTCTGCTTCACGGTTCGACTGTGGCAGCAGACGCTACGCGAGGCGAGCAACCGTGGCCAGCTGAAGGCGCGCGAGGCTGACTGCAAGAGGCGATTCGCGAAGCCCGAACGACACAGCAGTAGGCCGGCTGCGTGCAGTAAAATGCTGGCTGGCCCCGCCGTGGCAGCGTGCAAGCGCGCGTGACGCAACCAACCCGACCTTGGCCGCGCGAGAGGCAACTATTCCAACATTAGCAGCGCGAGAGATAACTAATCCCACCTTGGCGGCGCGCGTGAGGCGATCGCCGCTCTCTCCGACGCAAATGTTGAGCACGAGCTTCTGCACCTTGATCTCCCGCATCGGGTTGCTTGCCTTCTTCTCCGACGCCTGCCACCCACACCCGCACGCACGCACGCGCACCCGCACGCACCGCAGCACACCACACGCACACCCGCATGCACCCCGTGCAACACATACCAAGCAAAGCCGTCCAGGACCCCACACGCCATGTACACAAGGACGCACACCATCCGCTCCGCGCACAGCACACGCGCACACGCGAACAAGCAGCAAGCGCAGGCAACAAGACACACGCGAGCACCCCAAAATGCGACACGAGGGGGAATGGAGAAAAACGGCGGTTGGTGGTCTGGCGAATGGCGCACAGCGACAACGGAACGATGAAACTCTTCTGACGTGAATCCCTGAATTCCACCAGATGACACAACTAGGCCTGCCTATCGCTTTCCCCAGGAATTCTCGGATCGAGCTGTAGCGAAACGCCTAAAATTTCCCCGAAAATATATATAGCCTGGTCATGGCGCCACGTAACCCAAGAAACCTAATCGCGCGCTTACCATGGTGAAGGTATGGGGTGTCTCCTACAACAAGGGGTGTTCCGTGAGGAGGGAAAAGAGCGAAGGAAAGGAGGTGAGGGAAGAAGAAGGGAAAGGGAAGGGCTGGGAGGGTCGGGTGAGGCGAGGGATGGCGAGGTGATGCCAAGGGCGAAAGCTAGGGGAGGCGAGGCAGGGAGCGCACAGGGGGGCGACGCCAAGCCCGAGGGAGAAAGGGTTGCTGCGAAAGGAACGCGGGTGGTAGACCACCCGAGGTAACAAATTAGTGAACCTCGATTATGTCGGACCCGACAGAGCTACAAAATGTAAATCGGGAGACCAATTCTTTAGTCTAACAACTTGACAACATACCGTAGCTCTCACAAAGGCTACCAATCACTTCACTTTAAGCATGCAGCACATTGGTATAGGAATTTTGTTGTGAGAATGGTAGATCTAAATTTACAACTTGGAAATTTTAACGCCTTTCTGCATTTGACAAGCAATTATTCTAGTCAATTGAGCATAACGCCTTAATGCACTGGCTTTTTTAATGAAACACTCCCCTTTACTCCAGCTTTCCTTGCTCCAATTCATCTTCCTCCATTCCCTCCTCAACCTCGCCTGTTGCTGTTGGAACAGCCTTTGTGAGCCCCACCAATTCATCGTCCTCATCGGGAGCATCCTCGGAATAAGCATACCTGAGAAGAAACAGAAAGTAAGTGAACACATGGGGTACATCAGTGAACGAGACTACACTCTGAAAGAAGCGTCAGAAGACAAACTACTTGACCAACATGCAATCGAGGCGACTACAGGCACGGACATCACCCAGCAGCACTAGCATGAAAGAGGCGTGGCGTGACGTCACCTGGTGGAGGCCTGGGAGGGCGCCCAGAGGATGCAGATGACGCAGAGCAGGGAGAAGGTGAGCACGTGCCAGAAGCACCCCGTGATCCAGTCCGCCTGCCACCGCTCGTTGAACGGGTCCGTCACCTTGAAAAAAATCTGCCAGGCACGAGGAGTGCATCAGGGGAGAGGCTTAGAGTGTGACCCCCACCGTGGTCTTGCCTGGATGGGTTACGGGTAGATGGAACGTGCCAGGTTAGGAATGGAGAAAAGAGGTGTGCAACGTGGAATCGCACACGATGCACAAGATGCACACACATGCGTGCGTGCGGCGCACCTCATAGGCGATCCAGGCGACGGAGATGAGGACGGAGAGGGCGAGCATGTTGGTGAAGCGCCGGTACAGCTCCAGCTTGTGTGTCGTGCGCTTCGCCTGCCACCCCCATATGCATGCCGGGGCACCGGAGAGGAGGAGGGGGGCACAGGGCCACAGGGGGACGCAGGGGGGGATCGGAGGAAGGACAGGAGGGCAGCACATGGGAGTGCATGCAGGGACGGATCAGCATGCGCGGTTCCTGTTCCAAAACTGACAAGAAACAGGGCGGCGTGGTCATGCTGCAACACTTACGCACTGTGTGAAGCCCCTCCCACCCCGCCCCGTGCCATCACAGTGACACACCCAGCATGAACCACCCGCACAGCCCTTTCAGCCACACACAGCTCATCACCACCTAGACACACACAACTGGCAACGCCATGCACTGACCTGCCAGCACCTCCTGTTAGAAATGCGCTGTCAACACATTTGTGTACTCTATTTTATATCGTGTAGGTTATTTGTAGGTTGGGTGTAGAATTGTTATCCCAACCTTATCTTGTTGGGATTGCCTCGAAATCCAACAAATCTGCCAACTCATCATTGGAGATTTGCTTAGATTCCCATCCCACCCTTTCCCTAGCCTTGCTCAACCCAACCTTGCTTGTACTTAAGGCCTAGTGCCATCTTTCTTAATCAATCAGTTAAAGCTCCATTTCTGACACCTCCTCCCCATGCACGCACTGACTGGCGGCACCATGCACGCACCTGCAGGTGGGCGAGCGACTTGGAGAGGGCGGTGAGGATCCAGAGGATGAAGGCGGCGTCCAGCACAGCCACTCCCCTCTCCTCTCAACACACACTGCAATGCACGCACGAGCCATGCACGCACTCACTACCAGCACCGTGCACGCACCTGAAGCTGTGCGAGGGTCTTGGAGAGGGCGGTGAAGATCCAGAGGATGAAGGCGGCGTCCAGCACGGCCACGGGCAGCACCAGGATCACGCGCTCGCCGCTGCTCAGGTCGTCTATGGCGCCCACGTTCTGCATCACGTCCAGCCCCTCCGCTGCCACCAGGTACGCCGCCCCCAGCGCCACCACCTGCGCACGCGGGTTTGTGCATGCGAGGCGAGGCGAGGGCATGTGCACGTGGATGAGTGAGAGGGCGGTTGAGGGAGAGTGAGGAAGCAGTAGGAAGGAGAGTGGATGAGCAGCAGAGGGCGAGTGAAAGGGCAATGTGAACCCTCCGGTGAGACCTACAACGGACACCCCTCTCCCTTCCACTGGCTTCACTCTTTCCTTCGCCCTCCCCCCACCAGCGCACCTTGCCTGAGAGCCCCCCCACCCCAAGGTGCGGCGCACGACATCAAAGCCCATGGCGACGACGAGATTGAGCACACCAACCCCTTCCCACCCACCCTCTCTCGCCAACGCACCTTGCCCGAGAGCCCCCCGAGTGTGGGGCGCACGACACCGAAGCCCATGGCGACGACGAGGATGAGCACGCGCGACACGGCCTTGCGCACGGCGCCCACGCTGACGGCCCACACGGTGATGCCAATGGGGCGGTAACCCGAGGCGTTGAAGTTGACGAAGTCGAAGTACCAGGCGGCCATCTCCACCATGGCCAGGAACAGCACCGCTGTGATGCAGTGCTGCAGCTGCAGCACGTCCCTCCAGAACCGCGCGTACTGCACCAGCCACAGCAAGCCCAGCAGCAGGTACGCCTGGGGGAGGGGGGAGAGGGGAGGGGAGAGGGAAGGGTTGCAGTGTGGACGAGGAGAGTCAAGAAAGATCCCGAATAAGAGGGAACGGAGGGGGCTGGGTAGGAGTAGAGAGAGCAGGATTCAGTGCAAGCAGTGACGTGATCTCAGCAGCTCCACTCGTGATGGGACGACTAGCAATGGACAAGTGACACTCATGATGGCCATGCGAGGACTGACAACGGCCATGTGATACTCACGATGGACATGGCGCCAAAGAAGTTGAGGTAGGGCGTCATCATGCCGGGCAGGTAGCCGGAGGGGTTCTTCCACACGGTGCCGCCCGTCACCGACACCTCGGCGAGGTTCTTATCGCAGATCACGAACCACAGGTAGTACATGCCCGTCCGCGTTATGTGCATCTCCGATGCTGCTGCCTCCACGGCGCTGTCGTTGCCCATGAAGTTGATCTCCACCACGCGCGGCCACTGCGGGGGGGGGGGAGAGGAGGGGCAAGTGGGAACGAGGGCGGGTTGGGCGCGCCTCCACGGCGCTGTCATTGCCATTGCCCATAACGTTCACTTCCACCATGCGCGGCCACTGCGGCGATGGCGGCGAGGCGGCCCAGACCAGACCCGAGACCACACCGGAAAAAGCGCGCGATTGGAGTGAGGCGTGTGGGGGGAAGGGGGAACGGAAGGGCGAGCGGGAATGAGAGCGGGGTGGGTGCGCCGTGACGGGCTAACGGCGGAGCAGCGAAGCTAGGTGCAGGGACACTGGCAAGCGGTGCACTGTAGCAACGGTCAAGGGGACTCCATTGCAATTCACCCCTTCATGCCCTCCGCACTTACTCCACCCAACCCTCACCGAACACCCTCCTGAAGCCCTCCGCACCCCGCACGGCTCGCGGCTGACCTTGCTGTCGTCGTCGCGGGGGCGCACGATGAGGTGCCCGGGGTTGCACCCCGTCTTGCGCACGAGCTCCGGCGTGCAGCAGAAGGAGCGCGTGCCCGTGGGCGACGTGTGGCCGATGCGCGCGCGGTCGCCCACCTCGAACAGCAGCGCCTCGATCAGTCCCGTCTGCCCCGCCACCGGCGCGTCGCGCGCCTCCCAGATGGGGCGGTGGAAGGTGAGGTGCTGGAACCTGCGCGTGGGGAGGGCGCGCAGGGCGAGCAGCGTGGGCAAGGAGAGCAGGGAGAGCAGAGAGAGCAGAGTGCTGATGGGAGATGAGACCGCAGAGGGGAAAATAAAAGGTAAGGTGCTGGAACCCGATGTGGGAAGAGGATCGCACGGGGAGCGCAGCGGAGGAGGAAATGCGCATTGGCATGAGATTCAAGGGGTAGCGACAGTCCCTATCGCCGACTACTGAAGGGTGAGGTGCTGGAATCCGCGCGGGGGAGGGAGAGCAGGGAGAGCAGAAAGAGCTGTCTACTGCTTCGAAATCTGCGGGTAAGCCGGCATTGACCGGCGAATCAAAGTGCTGCTTAGTGCTCTGCAGGCGACGGTGCGACAGACACCTTCCAGCGTGCAGTCCCTGGTAGTCGCGAGTGGCGACGCGCACGCGTGGTGCACGTGGAATGGAATGGCAGCGTTCCCACGACAGAGTGCGTCGGCTGGCCTTAAAGCACCTCGCTCTACGCGCCACCAGTGCTTATCTACCCCCCCGCCAATCTCAGATGAATCACTGGCATAAAAAGCACAGATTAATCAACAGATTTAGTTATTGTTGTCCAACACTAACCTAGCTTGTCATTCGTCGCCATTGTGAGCGAATCAATTAACAAATTAGTTATTGCTGTCAAACACTGAGTCCAGCTTGGTCGTTCGTCGCCATCGTGAATTTGAGGGAATCAGCAGAGACAGGAAGGTCGTGAGAGGACTGGGAGCACTGGGAGCACTGAGCGCACACACACCTGACGTATGCCTTGCCATTGGCGACGGCTTTGCCGATCGTCGTCCAGTGAGCCACCGCCTCAGGCGTGGACGAGAAGAGTCCTTCCCGTCCGCCGCGAAAAAGGAAAGCATCCGCCGTGTGGAAAAAGCGATTGCCCTTATAGGTATGCACGGACGCATTCGCTCTTGCTATCAGCCCCAGGAGCAGCAGTATGCCGAATGCACAGAATCTGGAAGAGCATGCCATTCTGTGGATCTTGCCTGATCGCTACAGGCTAGAAGCAAGCGTCGGAAGTCGCTTATGCTAGTGAAGATTGCCAAGCAGTTGGCAACAAGTCGCGCTTTGCTCTTCAGGAACGCGTTAGACAGCTATTGTAAGGCAGACGCAGCTACTAGATTCATGGGGAATCTAGTTCTACGAGATGTGGAGGAGTGCAGGATTATGAGGATAGCCGGCCGAGGCAGAATCAAGAAAAAGTTGCCAGTGTGTTCGTAGATCTTGCGACAATAAGGAAAGAGAGTGAAGCGAGCAGGAAGGGAGGTAAAAGCAGGGGGAGCAGCCCAATTGGTTGGGAGAGGTCAAGCTCTCTGACAAGCTCGTCACTGAGTTTCTCAACATTGTATAGGCTTCACGAATCTATAGGTTTGCAGAGTTGCAAAATCCAACTTCCCAAGTGCAACGGCTCTCCATCAACAAACGCGTGGAAATGTGATTGTGGCGAAGCCTCTGATTTTGGAACAGCCGTGTCATTCCTTGTGCTCGGACGTGGTGTGCCGTGAGTCGCGCTTACCGAGGTGTGCGCGAAATTTTAGTTCCGACGGCGACGCGCGCATTGTGGCTGGCGCATTCCCCATCACAATGCACGCACGGAAATTCCAATTGATCGACCCCCCCTCCTCTCTGTCAGCTCCATCATCTTTCAGTTCAGAGGCGAAATTACGACTTCCCCTCGCGCCAGTCAACCAGCAAGACGGCCATTGTTCTGTCATCTCATTCATGTCGCACCGACACAAGTCCACTGCTGCTTTCACGTGGTGGCTAGACGCTGTCGGTACCAGCTTCTATATCTGCAGCTTCTCAAAGTACCAGAAGTGAACTGCCTCATCTGAATTCGGCCGTACATATGTACCTTGAAGATTAAGGAGCACTAAGCCCACAGTGCCGACGAACACCCGGAAGTTTATAACTTCTTTCTGTCACCAACCTAGCTTAGAGCGCACCTGCTAGAACCGACATACGCCGCTTAATTCGTCCCCACCATGAGAACCACACATATAGCAGTTCTCCTCACCCTAATATGTACGGCCCAACGAGCCCAACATCACTTCAAGCTCTCACCTTTGACGTTGCGCATTGCACAAAACTCTCGCTTCACATGTCGCGACTGCACTCGTGCTTACCCGCATCCATGCAGCGTTTACGCACCCGTGCTTACCCGCATCCCTTGCTCTCCTCACCATCCCATTCCCCGTGACTCCACGCAGGCGCGCTCTTGACGCCTCCAGCGCTTGCAGCTGACCTAGTCAGTAAGTGAACCACCTCACTTCCTTTGCGCGTCGCCGCGCCCGCTCTCCGTCGTCGTCTCCCCGTGCTCATGCAAGCGCCCGCCAAACTAACTGACGGTGCGGTATGTGTGCGTGCAGGCTCGGTGATATTCAAGCTGGACTCGAGGAACAAGAAGGAGGTGATCTCCAGCGGCAAGGCCAGCCTGCGCGTCTACAAAAAGTCAGCTGCCTCCCCTGCCCTGCCGCGCCCCTCTCGTCTATACTCGTCCTCTTCTCGTCACTGCTAGTCCTCTCTCCGTGTGCTCGTCTTCTTTCCCGTTACTTATCCACTTGACATCAGTTCGCGCCCACTTTTCACCCCCTAATAATTCAATAGAGTGCCGAGGTGCCACGCGGCAAGCCTCAACCCCGTGCGCGAAACGCTGATTACCGTTTCACCCTCACGTCCCTCCCTCTAATTCGCGCGTCGCGCAGCGAGGACGGCACATACACGCAGACGATGTCGATCGATCTCAACGAGGTGTTCACCAAGGGCGCTGCGCCCTACTACCGCCTCTTCCGCGGCAAGCCCGGCACGGCCGGCTCGCAGGCGTTTAGCGGGTACCAGACGGTGGGGTGGCAGCGCAGCAAGTCGCCGTACAACCCGCTGAAGCCGTTCATGAAGGGCCGGCACTCGCTGCAGCACACGGCATCGTACGACAGCATCACCGAGGCGCAGTACGACGCGTACGTGAAGCCGTACATGGAGCAGCCGTCCGGCTACTACCTCGTCATTTACTACCCCGGCCTGCGCCCCGCCATGCAAGGCCGCGGAAGCGTTGGTTGACGCCTGTTGGCTGTGTATACAATAAGTGAGACATGGTAGCGTCTCCTCTCCAGCTACTGTCTGCTAATCTTATATCACTTTGTATGCTTTACTGTTAGGTTAAATTGTTGAGCAAACGGAATGTTGAGGCCATGAGTGAGGTATCAAACCAGTGGGTTCCATCCAGCATCTCGTGAATGTAGCATCTTTGGTCACAGCATAGAATGCAATTGACACCATTGGACCTGGAATGGCATCTTGAAGGAATCTGGTGTGTGCTGAAGGGATGGGATCATGGGATGGGAGGGAAGAAGGGTGTGTGTGGGGGATGGAGGCCAGGGTCAAGGAGATGAGGGTGGAGTTGTGGGGAGAGGGGATGAGAAGAGTGTGGGGGGGTGGGGGGTAAGGAGGAACAGGCTTAGGGTTTGCTGGTCATAAGAAATTATCAGGAGGGTGATAAGGGGACCTGCTTTGGCTGGAAAGTACTACATACTTACCTGAAGCCAACGCAACAGCTCAGCCTAGAGACTTATGTCTCCACGGGTCAGGAACATTAATTCCTTCTTCCGATCATGTTTTCCTTCTGAACTGGATGCTTGTCCAATCAAATTAGTTTCTGTATCGCCTTCTGCACAGCAATTGTAAAACGGTTTGATCCATCTGTACTCGTTACGGGGTCTCCACCTCGGGTTTCGCTCCGCTTCGCTACGAGCACAAGCTTCGCCATTGGAATCATTTTGGTTTCTTGTTTTGAGCCCAGATAAACTAGGCTGGTATCTCCTTAGCTTTCGTCTACTGGGACCCACCACCACATTCAACTTGGCAACTAGTTCGTCGTGGCTAGCCTGCGGGGCAACGTGCGTACTTCCAGGGCAGCGATGACGCTTCGATCGGTTCAGCGGGGGCAGCGCCGAAGCTCCACCGGCGCGCAGCCGGCGCAGCGGGCTCCCAGCCACAACGAGAAGCGCAGCGGCACGCCGGATGCGGCGCGCGCAGGGGGGAGGTACAAACGGAGGAAGACCCTCAGCGACGCTCGCGCCACGCGCGGGCGATCCGCCGAGGAGCCCGACGACGGCGAGCGACCGGCTCGACGCGCCTCGTTGCGCGTCGCGGCCGGCGGGAAAGACGGCACGAGGAAGGCGAAGCGGAAGGAGCGGGAGGAGAAGCCGGTGTCGTTAATTCTCCCGCCAATCCCCAGCAGCGCCGGCCCGTTGTTCCAAGTCCGCGCCGGCCTCACAGGTCGCGCCTCGCTCCTCGCGTCTCCCTCTCACCCCTCTTCCCAAGTCCCCGCTTCCTAGTAGTAGTAGGAGCAGTTTCGAGTGGGATCTTAGTCGAGGTGTCGATCCGAGCCGCAGTCCCTTCTTGTTTTTCGACCATTCCGTTACGCCAACGATCAAATCGAGTCGGCCTTCCATTTGCTGACCAATTATCACGCATGCGCGCATGCCCGCCTGCTCGGATGTCCATAAAGCTTCGTCATCGGATCGCCGTAGCGCCACACAGGCGAACCAACCATCTGTTCCGCCATCGTGCCGCTTCCCTTTACCGCCAATCATCTTGTTTCCATCTTCCCATCTGATGCTGACGTGGCACCAGACTTCAGGGCGCGCCAGCTGGCGATGGCGGTGGAGGCGGGCGTCACGAGCGAGGTGGTGTGGGCGCTCAACGCGCTGCAGCTGATCAGCTTCTCGCTCAAGGACACGTGGCAGCAGGGGGCTGGCCCGCTCAGCAAGGCACCACAGCTGCTCTCAGCCTTAGTATCTGTGGTACTCGTCTTGCACGCCTCATCACCGCTTTGCACCGTATCTAACCGATCATGTCTGCCTACAACGGTTCTCGCCCCTTCGCCTCCTCACTCATATGTGCTGCTCTCCGCCACCCAATTCCTCACCCCACACCCACAACTCCCCTTCCCCCGTCCACTTTTCGTCTCCACTGCCCTCCTTGTGCTTCCCTACGACCTGCCGTGCCGCCCCTTTTGAAACCCGTCAGGTGGCGTCGTGGCGCGCCTGCTCACTCGAGATAACTGACGCTGCCACGTGGCGAGCCATGAGAGGAGGGCCCGAGGGCGGCGGCTCAGTTGGCAGTGAACCCCCGAGGAGGGGTGGCGGCGGCAGCAGGAGCGGCGGATCGGGGCAGCTCTCGCGCCTGCTGCATGACCACCTGGGGGAGCGCATTCGGTACAGCATGGGTCAGGGTCGTGGGCCGTGGATCGTGGATCATGCATCGTGGGTCATGGTGTCGTGGGTCGAAGCTTGGTTAGCTAACCCTATCTGCCCCCAACCCCTCCCCCCACTTCGCAACACCTTCTTTCGTCTGTCTCACTGCCCTTCCTCTCGTGCTGCCCCCTCACGCAACCCCTCCACTCCCCTGCCCTGCTGCCTACCCACCCTTGCTCCCTCTGCTTGCTCCCATCCCCACACCCCGGTTCCCCCTGCACATCCCCCCTGCCACGAACCACCCCCCAGCACCTACTTCCCGCACTCCGCTGGCGCGCCCCTGCGTGCGCGCCCCCTCTCCGCCCTGCGTCCTTTATCCGCGGACGACCCCCTTTCCTCCGCTGCTGCTGCCGCCGCCGCTGCTGGCGCTGGTGGCATGAGCGCGTACGGGCGCGGGCACAGGGGAGGCGGGGTGGAGTCGCGAGGGGGGGACGCGGGGGGAGAGGCGGGCAGTGGGAGAGGGGAGGATGGGGGAGGCGTGGCGGCAGGGGGCGCGGCAGGGGGGGTGGGGGGGAAGGGGGAAGGGGACGAGGTGGGGGAGGGGGGGGGTTGGGAGGGGCCGCTGAGTGCAGAGGAGTGGGAGGTGTGGTGGGCGGAGCAGGCACTCTTCAACCACAGCAGCAGCAGCACGAGCAGCACTGGGGGTGGCAGGGACGGGGGCGGCAGCAGCAGTGCGGGAGAGAGGTTGCAGTGTGCGGTGGCGGCGAGCACTGTGCTGCGCAACCTCTCCTTCCTGCCCCACTGCGCCTCTGCCATGGCCGCCCTGCCCGCGTGTGTGGCCATGCTGGTGGGCGCAATGGAGGCCTTTCAACGCGGTGAGCTGCCATGCTGGGGAGAGGGTTGGGTTCACACACACTACATTCCAATTTCCAAGCGCTCACATCTGTGACCCGGATGTGCCAGCCGCTCCCCCGTTCCGCAGTCCGGTCGCACATGTGAGCGGCTGGAAGTTGGAATTCATGACGCATGTGGGCATTTGAGTTTCAGGATTCGAGCAGAGAGTACTGGAGAGGAGAGTTGTGTGCAAGCAGCAGTGGAGGAAGGGGACGCCCCTCGTGCCGTGCATTGGTGCTCTCTTTGTCCCCTCTGCCAAGGTGGAGCAGGCTGAGGAGAGGGGGACGAGGAGGAAGGAGGGGGGATGCGAGGTCGTCGTTTCTCTCTATCTCCCATGCGTTTACACTCTCCTGCCTCCCCTTGTTTTCCACACCCTCTTTGATCGACTGCCTGCTGCCCTCCGCCTCCCTCGTCATCCCTCCCCCCTCCCCCCTTCCTTCACGGCCTCTTCCCCACCTGTCCCCTGCTCCCTCCCCCTACTCCTCCCTACTCTCCTCTGCTCCCCCCTGACCCGCCCTGCACCCCCTGCACCCCCTGCACCCCCTGCTCCTCCCGTCACGGCACAGAGGAGGAGGAGGTGGTGAGCAGCGTGGTGGACACATTCGCCAACGTCGCAGCAGCCAATGCCACCTGTGCCCTTCTCCCCTGCTCCCCCCTGTTGCCCCCTGAAACCCCTGCTCCCCACCCCCCGTTCCACCACGGGGCAGAGGACGAGGAGGTGGTGAGCAACGCGGTCGACACATTCGCCAACATCGCAGCCGCCATCGACCTCTCCTCCTACCCCGCCCACACGCCGCCCCTCCCCTCCTCCGCGCTGCCACCCACACTCTCAGCAGCAGCAGCGGCCCCGCCCGCCTCTCTCACTCGCTCCGCCGCGGCTCACCCCGGGGGGGACACGGGCCCGCAAGGATTCGCTGTGGGGGCGCCTGGGAGTGGTGCGGATGCTGGCGCTGATGCTGCTGCTGGGGGTGAAGGGTGTCGCGGAGTGATGAGGTGGGTGTGAGGCTTTGTTGTTCTTTTTGGTACAGAAGCAATTGTTCCTCTCGCATTCTCCCCTTCTCCCCTTACTCCTCTTCTACTGGTCTCCGCATCCCCGCATCTTCCCATCCTGCCCTCTCCCCTTCCCCTTCACTCACTTGCTTCCCCTTCCCTGCCCTCCCAACAAACATACTCCCACACCACCCACCCTTCAACCTCCTCTTCCCCCTCCTCACACACACACACACACACACACACACACACACACACACTCACACACTCACACACTCACACACTCACACACTCACACTCACTCACTCACTGCACCTGCTCACGGCACGTGGCTGGCAGGTGTACAGGCAGGTGGCGCTGCTGCTGGCGTCAGCTGACCCCCACGTGCGGGCCACTGCGCTCTCCTGTGTGGCCCTCGCCGCGCACGCCTCCCCCGCCGCCAAGTACAGCATTGCCCACCAGCCCCAGTGAGTGCTGCTGTGGCTGCAAGCCTCAGCGCTGCCTTGTGCTGCCGGTACAGCCCCAGTGAGTGCTGCTGTGGCTGCAAGCCTCAGCGCTGCCTTGTGCTGCCGGTACAGCCCCAGTGAGTGCTGCTGTGGCTGCAAGCCTCAGCGCTGCCTTGTGCTGCCGGTACAGCCCCAGTGAGTGCTGCTGTGGCTGCAAGCCTCAGCGCTGCCTTGTGCTGCCGGTACAGCCCCAGTGAGTGCTGCTGTGGCTGCAAGCCTCAGCGCTGCCTTGTGCTGCCGGTACAGCCCCAGTGAGTGCTGCTGTGGCTGCAAGCCTCAGCGCTGCCTTGTGCTGCCGGTACAGCCCCAGTGAGTGCTGCTGTGGCTGCAAGCCTCAGCGCTGCCTTGTGCTGCCGGTACAGCCCCAGTGAGTGCTGCTGTGGCTGCAAGCCTCAGCGCTGCCTTGTGCTGCCGGTACAGCCCCAGTGAGTGCTGCTGTGGCTGCAAGCCTCAGCGCTGCCTTGTGCTGCCGGTACAGCCCCAGTGAGTGCTGCTGTGGCTGCAAGCCTCAGCGCTGCCTTGTGCTGCCGGTACAGCCCCAGTGAGTGCTGCTGTGGCTGCAAGCCTCAGCGCTGCCTTGTGCTGCCGGTACAGCCCCAGTGAGTGCTGCTGTGGCTGCAAGCCTCAGCGCTGCCTTGTGCTGCCGGTACAGCCCCAGTGAGTGCCGGAGAGTGCAGTCTTCCTCCCGCTCTTTCGTCCCTCGCACCTGTCTCAGATCCTCCCCCCCACACCCCCTTCCCTCCCCCCCCACCCCCTTTCCTCCCCCCCCACCCCCCTTCCTTCCGTCCCACCACCGTTTCCAACCCCCCCCCCCTCCTACCCCCCTTTCTCCCCCCCCCACCCCCGTTTCCTCCCCACCCACCCCCCTTCCTCCTCCCCTAGTCTTCTCTCGCGACTGCTGTCGCTGGTAACCGCACCACATCCGTTACGGCGAGTGGTGCGGCGGGCGGCAGCCACGCTGCTGTGTCTGGCGAGGGAGCCGCGCACACACGCCGCCTTCCAGCCTCTCCTCCCCGCCCTCACCCGCGCTGCCTTCGCCTCCGCCCCACCTGCCCCCCATGCCACCTCCTCTGCTGCTGCTCCTGCTGATGCCGCTGGTGCTGGCGGTGCTGCGGCGGGTGATGCAGCTGCAGGTGGAGGAGGGGGCAAGGAAAAGGGCTGTGGGGATGCGGAGGTGAGTGCGGCGCTGGCAGAGGTGGTGTGGCGCGTGTCGTGTGAGCCGGGGGCGGACGACTGGCGCTTGCCTGAAGGGGAGAACGTGTGGGGCGCCCGAGAGTGTGACATGTGATGCTCATGCCCATGCCCATGCCCATGCCCATGCCCATGCCCATGCCCATGCCCATGCCCGTGCACATGCCCATTGTGGTGGTATATGTAGTGGTATCAGTGCGATTGTGATTCGTTTTGATGGGTTGGGAGTGGTGGCTGTGATGTTGAGGGCATGCAATGGTGGTGGGGGTGCTGACAGCGGTGCAGGCAGCGGTGCAGGCAACTGTGGGTAGCCAGGGGGGGGAGGTATCGTCATCATCCTCATTCTTGCCTGCTCGTGCACTTAATGGGCCTCTTCCTCTGAATCTTTGTATCTTGTAAGTGTAGATTTATATAATGTTAAATAGCATACATACATGTAGCAACACATCATAAACGGAGACTAACCACATGCAGGCACTGCATGGGACTCGGTAAACAATGTACTGTATGGCATGTGAGGGGCTTGCCACGATGCTGAGATGGCAGGTTGGAGAGATGGCAGGTTGGAGAGATGGCAGGGTGCTGAGGCATGCACGCCTGGCCGCACACTCTTTGTCCTTGCCTCACCTCCCTGCTGCATCCGCCACACACCCCTCACCAACCTCACCTCCACCACCACCGGCACCCGCAACAGCAGCAGCAGCAGCAGTGGAGGTGGGGGGTGCAGAGCGGGCAGCAGCGGGGGTGAGAGCAGGGGGGGAGGGCAGCCCCAGGTAGTGCGCCATGCTGTCGATGAACGCCGCCCTCTGCTGCCCCTCGTCCATCACCCCCCCCTGCTTCCCCGCCCACACCTGCCTCCGCGCCCCCTGTCTCCCTCCCGCTGCTGCTGCGCTGCCGTGGGGGCGGGAGAGAGGAGTGGCGGGCACAGCAGGGGAGCGCATGTGGGGTGGTGGAGGGGGGGGCAGTGGGTGGTGGAGGGGGGAGCAGTGGGTGTGACCGCCTGCCATCCATTCATAGTCGGCTGTTGTGGCACCGGGATGTGCGGCCGCCGTGAACCCCGCACCCGCTGCTGCTGTGGGGATGGTGCTGGGGCGATGGTGCTGGGGCGATGGTGCTGGGGCGATGGTGCTGTGGCGATGGCGCTGTGGGGATGGTGCTGGGGCGATGGTGCTGTGGCGATGGCGCTGGGGCGATGGTGCTGGGGCGATGGTGCTGGGGCGATGGTGCTGGGGCGATGGTGCTATGGCGATGGTGCTGTGGCGATGGCACTGTGGGGATGGTGCTGGGGCGATGGTGCTGTGGCGATGGTGCTATGGCGATGGTGCTGTGGCGATGGCACTGTGGGGATGGTGCTGGGGCGATGGTGCTGTGGCGATGGCGCTGTGGGGATGGTGCTGTGGGGATGGCGCTGTGGCGATGGCGCTGGCACGGGCAGGGCCGCGGGATTGGATGTCAGGGACAGGGGAGGCACAGGGGAGCACAAGGGCAGCAGCAAAGCGCCTGAGCTGACGGACTTGAGGAGGGACGGCGGGGAGTGCAGCGTGGGCAGGGCGTGTGAGTGCGAGTAGGAGCGCAGGAGGGCACGCAGGAGGGCACGCTGGACGCCAGGCGCGGAGGCGGGGCAAGCTGCATGCGGCAGGCGAGGGAGGGAGGCGAGGGAGGAGGAGGGGCGTGAGGAGGGGTGTGAGGAGGCGGCGAGGGGCAGAGAGGCGGAGGGGTTGGCGGTGAGCATTGCAGGGGGCAGGCGGGGCAGGCAGAAGAAGGGCGAGTTGGTGACGTCTTGGAGCGGGGCAGCAGCCAGCGGGGTGAAGGGAGAGGGCATTGCTGGGGAGGAGTGGGAGGCAGGGGCGCAGGTGAGGAGGGCATGGTGAAACTGTGGGAGTGGCGCCATGCTGTGAGGAACGGTGAAGAAAACCTGAGCGTCGGTGATGGGACCGTGAGGGTCGGTGACGAGACCGTGAGGATCGGTGATTGGACTGTGAGGGTCGGTGACGAGACCGTGAGGTTCAGTGATGAGACCGTGAGGATCGGTGACGAGACCGTGAGGATCAGTGATGAGACCGTGAGGATCGGTATCGAGATTCGTAGGTTCGGTGACGAGACCGTGAGGTTCGGTGACGAGATTCTTAGGCTCAGTGATGAGGCTGTGGGGTTCGGTAATGAGGCTGTGAGGGTCGGTGACGAGGCTGTGAGGGTTGGTGACGAGGCTGTGAGGTTTGGTGATGAGGCTGTGAGGGTCGGTGACACGGCTGTGGAGTTGGGCAGGGATATAGGATGGGCGGGCTAGGAAAGAGCGTGGTGGTGGTGAAAAGGGGTTGAAGGAGAGAGGGAGCACGGGTGATCCGGGGGCAAGTGGATGTGTGGTGCCGGCGGTGGGCGCGAGTGCAGGTGTGGCAGCCCACGAGAGGCCCAACGGATCCGTCATGGCTGTTGATGCGCCGCCCGCACTCCACTCTGACTCGCCCGCTGTGATGACTGGTGGACTCTCTTGGAAGGCAGCGGCTTCATCGGCATCGTTAGTGGCAGCGGCAACAGCAGCATGAAGGGCAGCATCATTGGCGCCATCGTGGTCGTCGTTGAGCAGCGCTGCTGCCACCTCCCATTCCACCGACGGCGCCGCGTGCTGTGCTGCTGCTGCCGCTGCAGAGGCCAGCGCAGCAGGATGAGGAGGAAGAGAAGGAGGAGGGAGAGGGGGAGGAGCGGGTGGGAAGTGGGGAGTGGCGGCGAAGGAAGAGAAAGAAGAGCACCACGCCCCAGCAGTGGGTGCCAGGCTCGCCGCACCGCTGCTGCTGGTGGTGGTGGTGGTGCTCACGCCTGTGCCTTGTGTCTCCAAGAACCGTCTGATGAGAGAACATGGGGAATAAGAGTGGAAAGATGAGGACGGGGTGGTGAGAGAAGAAGGGGGAGAGGAGAGAGGGGAGAGCGAGCGGAGAGGATCAGAACAAGTGGGAGGAGGGAAGGACAGAGACTGGGTTCTATCAGACCAGATCCGACCTTCTCCTCCCCCCGCTGGCTGTAGAATGCCAAGATCTGCAGCCCTGGCACGCACAATGGCTCCCCATGGGCTTCCACGGGACCATGCACCCCACGGAATGCATCTGTGCTCCATAGCTAATGCTTCTTGAGTCACCTTTTAAGGAGGATAAAGCGGTTGCAGCAGGCCTTGTTGTCGCGGTGTGGTGGCAGCAGCCTCGAGGCGCGCAGCTTGCTCCAGTTGCGTGTGCCGTGCACGCACACGTGCTGCAGCAGCACCTCGTCCTCCTGCTCCACGTGCCACGCGCCAGCCGTCCATCCTTGCAGCAGCGCGAGGAGGGACATTCAGGGAAAGAAGAGAGTGAGCCACACAAGGGCCGACGAATAGCAGAAGAATGAGAAGCGGAGTGAGAGAGAAGATGCGGAAAGAGGCAAGCAAGGTGGAGATGAGAAATGGTGGGCGCAGCTGGGCGAGGAGTGCATGACACTTCACGTGGAGGTACGCGTACTAAAGCCGCGTGGCAGAGCGGAGTGTACCTCGGGGGTCCACCAGCGGTTGCTGTGCGCCATGTGCATTCCTTTCGGAGCCTTCGGAGCCACCGCCCATGGCGCTGCCTTCGCGCCCCACATCGCTCCTTCCTCCTCCCATGCTTTTTCCGTTTCCCATGGTGATCCTTCCGCATTGCGCGGCGCTCCCAGAGCGCGCAGCCAAGCGTGAATCGCATCGCCGGGGACGCCAATCTCCTCGTCGCTTTGGTTCGGTGCCGAGCCGCACAGGAGGGTCGGGTTTTTCGCTCTTGTCAACAGTTCACACATGACAACTTCAAAAGGGTGCTCCCCTGACAAGTGGAGCAATCTGCTTACATACACTCCATATCTGTAACGCTGCAGTGAGTATGTGAATTCATGTATTACGTGTAAAACACCTACACTAATAAAATATGAATGTGGTGTGTGTGAACAACAACTGGGCAGCTCTCGTGGTTGCGAAAAAACCAAAGTAGGAGCACTCCAAGCTGATTGGCCTTACGCGTGTGGGCACTGCTGACCAATCAACATCCGTAGATGGCAATAAGCCGCACTCATTGGTCTTTGTTGGAAACAAGTAATTTAACGCTTCTGAAGTAATTGAAGTATCGGCACGAAACGGAGCAGACTACAGCGAAGCAACACGCGAGTCAACAAAAGAAACAGGTAAAGGTTACGCGAAGGTCAAAGGTCGCTGACCTTTGACTCGACGAAAATACAGCGCGACAGCAAGGACACATAACTGACTCGACATTGAGCAGTTACCCGAGTCGTCACTGTATCGAACCGCAACAGCAAAAAACAGTTAAAGTAAAACCTTTCATATTCCTTTGTAATCATATAAAAGCTTTGTATCTCTCTGCTATTACCAACTCATCTTGTTCTCACATACGAGTGCAAGGTGGTTCAGTAAACTCTACTATTACGCTTCCGCAATTACAACATTTCTACCACAAAGGTCTTAGCCTTGAAAAGATCCTAAGGGCTAATTCTCAGCCCAACATGGTATGAGAGCCTCCAAGGCAAGATCGATTACCCAAACTCCTACAACGGGCATGGCAACACAAAAGGAGAGGAGCTCCTCCAACGGATCTCCCGGCACTACTCCTACTCCACCTCCAGCCTCTGGCCTACAGACAGAGGAAGGCACAGCAACAAGACCAGCTGCGGAGTCTACCGAAACTCCCGGGAATCAAGCAGCAAGCTTCGACCCAAGCATGATGGAGAAATTATTCTCCTTCATGTCCTTCTACGAGCAACACCAGCAAGCAGCTCCTGTGCAATCAAACAACAGCGACAACAACAACAGAGCAACCCCAATGAGCCTTGACGATTCATCTTATGCGCGCGGAAACCAACAGCAACCTACCTTTGCTCCGTACGAACCTCAAAGCGGCTCCATCAGCTTCACGCCACACCAACAGCCTTCACCTGGACAAGAGAAGGTACTGGATGCGCTCCAGGTTCAATCACAGTTCGCACATGTTTTAAAACTGCAGACATCGACACCTTTCGACGGAAAGGACTTCTATACCTGGTCATTCGAGTCCGAGCTGATGATGGAGGGCGCGCAAATTCTTGGATTCTTCGACGGGTCCCTACCATATCCAACACATGGGACACAATACGACAAGCAGCAGTACACATATCAATCACCGATGGCGTATACGATACTTCTGCGAAATCTATCTCCAAACGAGCAGCAGAACATACGGTCTTATCGAGGATACGACAATTCCGCCGAGCTGACGTACGACCACCTGAAGAACCTGTATCAAGCAACAGACAGCGTTAACCAAAGTCGTCTCATGGCACAGTTGACAACAGTGGAAATGAAACCCGGCGAAAAGGGAATGGCCTATATCAGCTGTTGTCATGGACTGCGCGACAGACTCCTTCGATGCGGAGGATCGATATCCGAAGAAGCCTTCGTAACAATCATCATTGCTGGCCTCGGTCCTCATTGGCGCTCCACTCGAGCACTCCTTCGAGCTCACGGGAAGATCTCCGAAGCAGCACTCTGCGCCGAAATTCACGCTGAACAGCAGGATATGGACCTACATGAAGAACGACACAAGAAGAGAGCGCCAGCACCTGAATTTGCGTTTCATACTCAACGACGCTACAACAACAATAACAATCGACAAAACAGCCGACAAGTTCAACAGTACGTCCCACCGTTCTGTCACCTCTGCAAGACGTCAGGACATCCTCGCACACACTGCCCGAATCAGCAGCAGTCGACATCGTCGCAACGTCAACTTCGGCCCTCAAGCAGTCAAGTAGCTTCTACACAGGCGCATCCCACCAATCAAGTACAGTCTTCAACGTCATCAACGACAAAACCTGCGCAAGGCACAAGAAACATCGTAAGTGTCAAACTTATATATGCTAGTCTGTTTAGGCTGTAGTGGGGTAGTTCTTATAGGGTACAACACTTTTAGGTTTCCTACTTGTACCCACCTGCTTCCTAGTTCATTCATTCCGTTCCTTATTCTAACATGGTATTCTGAGCAGGTTCCCTAGTGGGAACGTTTTTTTAGGGCCCACCACGAAATTTTCTCCTGCCCTCCCCGAAGCGCGCGTTGCGGCCCCTTAGCCGCCCGTCACGGCCCCTTCGTCGCCCGTCGGCCCCTTAGCCGCCCGTCGGCCCCTTAGCCGCCCGTCGCGGCCCCTTAGCCGCCCGTCGCCCCCCCCCCCTTTCGCCGTTCGTCACGGCCCCTTAGCCGCCCGTCGTCGGCCCCTTAGCCGCCAGTCACGGCCCCTTCGCCGCCCGTCGGCCCCTTAGTCGCCCGTCGGCCCCTTAGCCGCCCGTCGCGGCCCCTTAACCGCCCGTCGGCCCCTTCGCCGCCTGTCGCGGCCCCTTAGCCGCCCGTCACGGCCCCTTAGCCGCCCGTCGCCGGCCCCTCAGCCGCCCGTCACGGCCCCTTCGCCACCCGTCGGCCCCTTAGCCGCCCGTCGGCCCCCCTTAGCCGCCCGTCGCGGCCCCTTAGCCGCCCGTAGTCGGCCCCTTAGCCGCCAGACACGGCCCCTTCGCCGCCCGTCGGCTCCTTAGTCGCTCGCCGGCCCCTCAGCCACCCGTCACGGCCCCTTCGCCACCCGTCGGCCCCTTAGCCGCCCGTCGGCCCCCTTAGCCGCCCGTCGCGGCCCCTTAGCCGCCCGTAGTCGGCCCCTTAGACGCCCGTCACGGCCCCTTCGCCGCCCGTCGGCCCCTTAGCCGCCCGTCGGCCCCTTAGCCGCCCGTCGCGGCCCCTTAGCCGCCCGTCGGCCCCTTCGCCGCCCGTCACGGCCCCTTAGCCGCCCTGCCGGCCCCTGCTGGCGCGACCCTGCCGGCCCCTGCTGACGCGCCCCTGCCGGCCCCTGCTGACGCGCCCCTGCTGGCGCGCCCCTGCCGGCCCCTGCTGACGCGGCCCTGCCGGCCCCTGCTGACGCGCCCCTGCCGGCCCTTGCTGACGCGCCCCTGCTGGCGCGCCCCTGCCGGCCCCTGCTGACGCGCCCCTGCCGGCCCCTGCTGGCGCGCCCCGGCCCGGCCCCTGCTGACGCGCCCTTGCTGACGCGCCCCTGCCGGCCCCTGCTGACGCGCCCCTGCCGGCCCCTGCTGGCGCGGCCTCTTCTGGCGCGGCCCCTGCTGTCACGGCTCGCCCCTGCACCCGTCTCTGGTAAGCCGAGCCGCGCCGCCCAGCTGAGCCGCACCGCCCAGCCGAGCCGCGCCGCCCAACCGAGCCGCGCCGCCCAGCCGAGCCGCGCCGCCCACCCGAGCCGCGCTGCCCACTGAGCCACGCCGCTCAACCAAGCCGCACTGCCCTACCGAGCCGCACTGCCATGCACTGCCCTCCTGCCTCTGCTGCTATTGCTGCTACTGCTGCTATGGCTAGTCCTACTATTCTCACCTTTGATGCTGAGGGACGTGCAGTTGACTTTGACGTGTGGGTTGACGACCTACAGCTCTTTCTTCAGTGTGATTCTAGGGATGGGGTATCCCTTTTCGATCACACGTCCGGTGTTTCTACTGCTCCTGCTGCCACTGCTGACAGTACGGTTCGCTCGCATTGGACCACTCGTGACGCTGTTGCTCGTCTTGCTGTTCGTAGTCACCTGCCGCCTGCTGAGCGTGCGCATTTTGGCCAGTACAAGACTGCTGAGTCTTTGTACGACGCTGTAGTTGCACGCTACTCCTCCCCTTCCACTGCTGCCCTCAGCCGCCTCATTCTGCCGTACCTTTTCCCTGACCTTGCCGCCTTTGCCACAGTCGCTGACCTAGTTGCTCACCTTCGCACTAGTGACGCCCGCTACCGCGCTGCCCTTCCCACTGAGTTCTGTGCCAAGAACCCCCCCCCCATGTACATCACCCTTTACTACCTAGTCACCCGCCTCCCTGACTCCCTTTCTTCAGTCAGGGACCACTTTCTCTCCCTTTGCCCCACCGAGCTGACTGTCGACTTGCTAGAGGAGCGCCTTACTACAGCTGAGAAGAGTATCTTAGCTGTAGGTGCTTCTCGCGGCGACTGTCGCACCCCTTTCTTTGAGGGGTGTTCCCCTGTTCCTCTTCTCCCCTCTGCTGCTTCTGCTGCTGCTGTTGACCTCGTTGGCACTGAGGAGGTCGGAGCTGCGTCTGCCCCTAGTGGGAGACGCCGCAACAGCAAAGGCAAGGGGAGCAAGGGTGGTGGAGGGGGCGGCGGGGGAGGCGGTGGAGGAGCTGGAGGAGGCGGAGGGGGTGGCGGTGGTGGTGGGGGTGGTACCGGGAGTGGGGGCTTCAGTGGCGGCGGTGGAGGTGGTGGAGGCAGCGGCGGAGGTGGTGGAGGCAGCGGCAGCGGTGGTGGAGGCGGCGGCGGCGGTGGTGCTGGTCGAGGTGCAGCCGCGCAGCGTGGAGGCTTTGGTGGTAGCCAGCGCCAGCAGCAGCCGCGCTCCCGTGAGACCGGCAGTCGTCGTGGGGAGACGTGTGGGCTGCCACACACTACGCAGCGCTGCTTCGGTCGCTTGACTGACGCCTGGCATGCCCAGTTTCCTGACGCTGTTGAGCTCCCTCGCTGGCATGATCTGCTTCTGCAGAATGTGCCTATCTTCGATCTTGATTTCGAT